TCCTCCCCTAGAGCCTTCAGAAAGCATGATCCAACCAACACTTTGATTTTGGACTTCTAGCTTCTAGAACTGTGAGAGAATACATTTCTGTTTGTGGTAATTGTTTATGGCAGTCCTAGCAAACGAATACATTATCTTCCTTTTTCTGGTTCCTTAGGGCCCCCTTCTCATGAACCCTGACTCTGTCCCATAAAGCATCTGGAAGTGCCCTCTGTCTCAAAACCTTCTGTCCATCCTTTAAAATTTAGCTCATTGTAAGTGCTGCAAGGGCAATGATAGGGTGAGCCAAACCAGGACCAAAATGTCAGGCACAAGCCAGACCAGGGTCTGAACGTGAGAAGAGGGCCAGAGGGGGGGATGTTCAGTGACATGGATATGGAGCTAGTAGAATTGGTCTGAGGTGGGGAGAAACCTGCAGAAGAAAGATAAAGTAGGGTGTGCCCACAGTGACCAAGGACAAGTGGGTCCAAGATCCAGGCTGTCGATAGAAGCAGGACCATACAAGGATCAAAACCAGGACACCTGGAACTAGTCCCAGCTTCATACTCTAATGACACCACTTACACTGGAGAAGCCCTTTCGGTTTCCAAACCATTTTTGCATACAGTCATTTGTTCTTCAAAACCAGTCTGCATGAGCTGAGTAGAGCACTAATAAAATCTCCACTTGATTCACTGGCAAACAACATGTCAGATGCGAAGTAAATTGCTCAGCATCACATAACTGATTATAGCAGCGTGTGTAGAGAGAAGAAAATAAACTTTGGAGTCTGGTAGACTGCATTAGAATCAATACACGCAAGCTATTTGATTTCTATGAAACTCTGTGGTTTTTTTGAGACTATTTTTTATTTGTGTCACTAACATAACATTTGTAGTGACACCAAATAAAACAGTTATATTTATTTGTGCTCAATAAATTATCATCTCTTTCCTCCTCCCTTTTTCCCCCCAGGTTTTTTAAAAATAATTCTTTATTGTTTCCTCCTCCCTTTCTTACTTGTTTTCCAGCTCTGAATTCTGTGCTCTTTATACTACCAACCACAGTGTTGCATTTAAATCTTGGTTTCTCACAAGTCACCTCTCTAGAAGTCAGTCTCTTCATCCATTTTATCAAAAGATTGGTCTAAATCATTTATGTGGTCTCTTCCCGTTGGGATAGGCAGGGGCCTTATGTTTTCAACAGACCAGGATTTCAAAGACAGCATCTGTTGTCCCTCACATCGCCATCAGGGGGCGCCTAGCACTGCTTATGCCTTGGGTGGAACAGATACTGAAGGTGCTAAGTAAGCTCTGCCTAGGACTTCACAGAACTTGAGGAGAGCCAACCATCCCAGAAACGCTCATTCCCCTTCTGAAGACAAGACAGGAGAGAAAGGGTTATTCTCCATTTATTTTATAGATGAGGGAAGCATTTTGATTTTCCTTAATCGCCTAACAGGATGAGCTAATGAAAGGTCAGATGGCCTTATGGAGTTTCTGCTAATCAAACTGAGTTGTGCATTATGCTTCAACCACTCACTAATTAGCCTAAAGCTGACTACATCCAGGGCTTTATGCCTGGAGTGGGGGGAGCATTAGCAATACTCTCCATTGGAGGCACCCACTTCCCCTCTGGACACAAACACAGACATAACCCACCAGAGGCCTGAGAGGAAGCCTGGATCTTTGGTTTTCAGGAAGGAAACATAAAGAAGCACTATTTCCATGGCGTTCGCCTGTGCCCCCAGGACAAGAGGAAGAAGCTGCTCCTGCTCTATGAAGGGTTGAGGAATAACGTTGGTGTGGAATTGTAGCCTGCTGACTGCTCATGAGGACCACAGTCTGAACTTACCTTCGTTCCCCAGAAGAATTTACCATGGGGGGAGCCTGAGAAAAGTCTCTCGGCTTCTCCCATGCCCTAATTCTTCCTGCTCCTTAGCAGTTCCTCTGGAAAATCCAGTCACTCCTCACTCCCTCTCTTCCAACTCAGCCCCCTTCTCCCTGTCATTTCTGCCCCATGCCCAGCTCCTGCTAACAGACTCTGGCAAGACCAGCAATTCCATGGGCTCTTTCATTCTCAATGGTCTGTAAGTCTTCACAGCTGTAGGTTCAGAGGATGGTTGTTTGTCTTCCACAGTTCAAGTGCTCAGGCCTCATGCTAACAATTGCAGCCTGCTCCCCATCCAAGGATGTAAATCTCTCTCAGCCTGACACCTGGTCACAAGTTGCTGGAGAAACAGCCAGAGAGGTTGCCTCTCCACCTGTCAGATTCACTGGTGACAATTCCCAGATGGAGTCCACAGCTCCAGTGCAAGTCTAAACACTCCAAAGGAGTCTGACAGCTGGCACACGGGTATCTGTCAAGCAAGACTCAAGCAGTATGAGTTCCTGGATAATGTTCAAGAATAGTTCTACAAACCAGAATCCTTCTCCATTCCCTCCCTCTTCCCCCTGACAAATCACCCTTCTCCCCTGCCTAGGACTGACTGGGCAACTTTCTTCAGTGATGCTGAGAAAATATTCAGAGATAGAAGAGGCGGCCCTCTTATCCCCAGGCTAAAGCTAGACTTCCTTCTCCACTAAGGGTTCAAAAGTTGAGTCCTTGCCCAGAAACCTTCCACACCTCAGACAGCAGAGATCTCACATTGGCCTGGGTTGAAAAGGAGAAAGCCATCTTTGGTATGCAAACATCCTAAGAAATAAAACCTGGGCTCCTGGAGAAAAGAGAACAGCCGAGGCCAGGTCCAATTCACAGGGAACACCCATATGTGGACATCCACCGAGCTTATCCTCAGGGCAGATCAAAGTTTTATAACTCTGGAGCTCCTGAACCTAGCCAATGCATTGTACACTGCTGTCATTCAGCACATTAAACTTGTTTATGATTTACAGTTTATCCTGTATATCAGTCCAGACAATGGCCTCTGTTCAATGGGGTTTAAATAAGAAGTCACAAAAAGATCCAGTGATTTCCATAAAAATGTGCTTTCCATAGAAAACTGCCTGATAAGATTCATAAAAATTGGAATAAGGAAAACAATGATCAACTGGCTCAAACTTGTAACTCCAGTTTTACTTCCAGAGGATACTATAGATTTCTGCAGCCCAGGAAAGGGAGTGGGGAGGTGGAGGTTAGGAAAAGAATGGGAAATGTCAGAATATATTTATAGCCCAAGACATATGCCCAACACAAACAGTGCTCCGTACCTCCAGAAATGAACACGTACAGTGCAGATATAAATAAAACTGGTTCCTGCTGGCACCGGGATCGTAGGAAGCCACCACCGGCTTATAGCATGGGAGCTGACATATGCTCCATGTGCCCTGATCCTGAGCCCAGCAAACGCAATCCCGAAGACACTTTGCTCAAGTCCTGTGGGTAACATGGCTTTGCTACTCACTTGAACTGGATTCCAGGAGTTTTGGAAAGGGTGGGGAGGCAGGAGTATCAGCGGCTCAAGCTTGCTCCCCTTTATCCAAGCAGATGTTTTATTTTCATTTCACGAGGGTTAGGAAGAAAGGAACAAGGATTAGTCCTAATTTATTGCCGCTGTCGAAAGCCAGCGCTCAGAAGTAAGTGGATTATGGAAAGAAAACAAATGGAGAGAAGCGAAGGCAATGGATGAACTGCATTCAATAATATTTATTAAGTTGATTTAAAAATGTAAAGAAGGGATCCATTCTAATGGTTCACCTTCTATGAACCCTGGAGTCCCCCCAAACCCTGAAGAAGTCCTTCTGACACTGTTGTGAGGTAGATCGGAGCTATTCTGTGTCTAAAGTGAGGGAGGCTGGTGCTTAGAGAGCCCTGGTGAGGAAGCCAGGGACAAAAATCCCAAACCTTGACCTTTTTTAGCTTCCTGCTCTCAGCCTGGGCTGCCAAGCCTAGAGGACACTGAGTGGTTCATCAGGTGGGGACAGGGGGGGGGGGAATAGAATGAGGGGTACTCTCTCTGCCCTAAGCACATGCACACAAGTGAGCAAGGTGCCCAGCCAAAGCCAGCCCGACCGCTCCAAGGGCAACTGGGCACAGGCAGCCCGACCCTCTAGCTGCTGAGGTATTGGTGAAGTTCAGGAATGGGATTTAAAAATCTTCTCTCAGAAAGAAAGAGAGGGGGTGGCAAAACGCCCGCTTGGTAAGGCTTCTCCTCCCAGTCCGTCCCCACCTCCTCATCCGTGGCCCAGTCATCAGGTTCTGGAGGGCAGAGTTTTCCAGCTGGGAAACTCCACGGGGGCTCGTTCTAAACAGAGGCCAGAGCTTTCCAAAGGTTCTGGATCAACGATCAACGGAGCTCTTGTTTCTTGTCCTTCAAGGCCTAAGAAATTCCCCAGGAAGCCCTGGAAAAAATGAAGACAGCAAATCTTGGGGTGGGTGGGGCACAGGGTGGGGACAGGGGACCCAGGCGGTCAGCTACCCTGAAAACCCCTAATTATACAAAAGCCTCGGCCCCACGCAGCCACAAGCCTATGGGACTCAGCCCAGCCCTGTCTCTACCAGCTGGAAGAACTCACGCTGTGGCTTCCTCACTCCCCTCAGACCCTTCAGACCCTCAGTGCATTCTCACCTTCGTGGCTATCAACCCTTCAAAGAAACCAGAACTGGGGCAAAGGACTTGGGGGGAGGGCCTCCAATGGTCTCTGCAAGCCAAAGCCAGCCCGAGTGGTGACAAGAAATCCGGGCGGCTGTGGAACGGGCTAGAAACCCAAAACTTAAACTGACCTTGCGGGCCGGAGGCCTGGGGGACAGCAGCACTTCCCTGGCGCACACGTGGGGCGCTGGGGTGAAGAACAACCCCGCGGCCCCCCTTCGTTTCAATCCTACGCTCGAGTGGATCGGATGAGGGAAAAGAATGGACTTCGGTTTTCATTTTGGTTCCCTAATCTATGTCTTCCCTTCTTTCCATGCAGAGTCCCTCCCCAGCCCCACCTTCTCCTCTCGAACCCCAGACTCAAAACATGGACCAGAGGAGACACCGAGTGTTTCCCGATCCCGAGCTGTCAGCCCCTTGGCCGCGTTACCTACTCGTTGAGCGGTGGGCACGGCCGGGACTCGGAAGGGCGGGCCGGGGCCGCAGGGGTCCAGGAAGGGGCGCCGGCAGCGGGGCGCTCCTCCCGCCGGCCGCGGCGCAGCAAGCGGCGGAAGACGCAGCGAAAGTCGGGGCTGCGGCAGTAGATGAGCGGGTTGAAGGCAGAGTTGGCGTAGCCCAGCCAGTTAAGGGCCAGGAAAGCCTGGTCGGGAACCAGGGAGGGGCCCCCAAGGGCGCGCACCACGTTGGCCACAAAGAAGGGCAACCAGCAGAGAGTGAAGGTACCCATGATGAGGCCCAAGGTGCGCAGGGCCCGGTGTTCCGGGAGAGGCAGGAGGCGCGCCGGCCGCCGGCTGCCGGAGGGCCCCGCTGCGGGCGGAGCGCACGGCCCCGCCTGGGCTGGGACCCGACAGCGCGGTGCAGCCGACGGGGACTCCTCTGGCGGGAAGCGTCCCAGCTCCCGACGCAGCAAGTGCAGCTGGCGCGTCGCCACGACGAAAACTCGCGCGTAGACGAAGAGCATCACCAGCAACGGAAGGTAGAAGGAGACGGAGGAGGAGAGCAGCGTGTAGGTCATGTTGGCGGCGAAGGCGCAGCAGCGCGGGTTGGAGTGGCAACGCTGCGCCTCGGCGTCGGCCCCCACGCGCCACCATTTGCTCATGATGGGCGCAAAGGACACCGCCGCGGACACGACCCATACCAACACCACCGCGGCGCGGGCCCGGCGTTTGGTGACCAGCGCGCTGTAGCGCAGCGGGTTGGTCACGGCCAGGTATCTGTCCACCGCCAGGGCGCACAGGGTTTCGATGCTGGCGGTCACGCACAGCACGTCCACCGAGGTCCACAGCTCGCAACCGGTGGCGCCCAGGGGCCAGTGGCCGGTCAGCGCCAAGGTGGCCCCCGGCGGTACTACCAGGAGTCCCACGACCAGGTCGGCTGCGGCCAGAGAAGTCACGAACACGTTGGTCATGGTCTGGAGCCTCGGCGTCCGGGCGATGGCCACGATGACCAACAGGTTGCCTCCCACGGTGGCTAGCACCGCCAGCGCCAACAGCGCCCCCGCCAACGCCGCTGCCCACGGCACCCCTGACAGCCCACTCGTGTTGGCAGAATTGGGCGCCAGGGTGGGGGCATCTGGCCACGAGGCCAGAGAACTGTTCGCGTCAGGCCGCGGAGCCATTCCCACGTCGCGCGTGGGGCGGGAGGGAAAGAGGTAAGGGGGCTCCCGGCTCACGCGACTCAGGGGAGGGGGCAGTGGGGCGTGGGAGAGATCTCCTTGGCCTGGGCCATCTTCCCTGGTTGACGGAGAGAAAGCTCAGCCCCCCCACACACCCCCACACTGGGTGCCACCGCTGGGGGGTGGGGGGAGTGGCGGCTCTTAAAGGGGCAGCGGCCAACAGTGTCAACACTCGGTGTCGGGAGGGGACTTGGAGGGTAGGGAGGGAAACGAGGTGGAAGCCCGACTTTTCCTTTAGCCAAATCCGGAGCACGGAGGCCCTGACTTCTCTGCCACTACGTGCCCACTCCTGCCACGACCAGTTGCACACTCAGCAAGCACAGCACCGGTCAGCACTGGTTTCCTGGCCTCCCCGCTTACCGTGGCAGAGGAAAGGTAACCCTTTCCGCCCACAGTAGCCCCTCGGCTACTCGGGAGCCCTCCTCTAAGATATTGTAAGTTAAGTAATAGAGGGCAGCCAGTATCCTCGCTTCTCCCAGGAGGCCATTTCAGTGAGATTTGCCCCCTTTCCCTTCTATTTCCCTTACCCTCCCTGTCTCTCCCGTTTTCTGTTCTGGCTTCCTCACCCCCGACCCCCTCAGCTGCTGGGACGTTTGACATTTTTCAGGGGTCTTTATCATTGCCCACTCATTTGAATTTCAATTTGGCCTCCATAGCCTGGGATGTTGAGAGTTTCGATTTCTCCAACTTCCCCATTACACATTGCCCTTTCCACACACCTTTCCACCTTGAAATTTTCTAGATGGGCCCTTTTTTCTTAAAATTCTGTTGAAAAGACATGTTAAAAGTGAATGAATGGGTTTGAGGTTGAGGCTGATCCACATCACCCCCAACTATCCACAAATCTTCCATCACCACCCTCCTTCCTGATGGAAAAGTGTTCACGCCACTTCCTTGAAGATTTATTCATGAACTTTTTTAATTTTTTTATTTATTGATTTCAGAGAGGAAGAGAGAGGGAGAGACAGAAATATCAATGATGACAGAGAATCATTGACCGGCTGCCTCCTGCACGACTCCTATTGGGGATCGAGCCTACATCCTGGGCATGTGCCCTTGGCATGAATCGAACCTGGAACCCTCTAGTTCGCAGGCCGACGCTCTATCCACTGAGCTAACTGGCTAGGGCTATTCATGAACTTTTAATTAAAAACTAGAAGAGGTTGAATTGAGGAATTCACGCGTTGCGTCTCCAAGTGTGTGGAACCAGAGGCCTGGTATTGTAATGCAGCTCCAAGTCTCTTCATACCTCTTACCAGAGGTTCCCTTCACCTAAGGGAGCCCAAAGCCTAATTCCCTTCCCCTAACCTCACCCAGACTTAGAGCTGGTTCTGCCAGCCAAGCTATTCCAATCTCCAAGCCAGTTCCTCTGAAATTGGGTGTGGGGAGATGAGACTGGAAAATAAACTCCTGGATTCAGGTTCAAGGGCAGGAAGATATGATACCTTAATGAAGTCCTATCAGAACCTGATCCTTGAGCTGTCTTGCTTCCTCCCCTGAAACAATGAGACAAAAAGGGGAAAAATATCATGGAAAATGCCTCCAGGGCCATGCCCTAGCATGTCTCTTTTGAACCGCTCTATATTTCAAAAGAACACTGTATAGTCACTGGTTTAAGCAATCCCTCTGGGAGGCTGAACCAGGGGTTGGGAGGTTAAAAGACTGGAGGGGAAGTGAGGACCTAAAATTATCCTTGAGGAAAAAGAACCAGTTTCATCTCCCAGGGACCCAGCAGCTCACCCATGAGCAGGGTTTGTCAGTGGCTCCCAAGCAAAGGCCTTCCATGGCCATGCAGTACTCCAAGCAGACCTTGGGATCCATGGAAATGCCTAGCGAGTGGAGGTAAAGAGGCCCAGCCCCATCCCCTGCCCCAGGTCATGCCCCACTTGGCCTGAGTCTTGGCTGTGACGTCCTGCTGGTCATCAAGGCCAAGGCGGTCACTCCCAAGTGGGTTTTGCAACACCTCAGAGTGTTGCCAGTTATTTCAAAGGGGTGTCATGAGATTCTTAAAGAGTAATCTCTAAAACAAATACACGCCATTCAGCAATTTTTTTCCAGGACAATAGAATTGGCTGGGGAAGGGAAGGAGGGTGCCAGGAAGTCAAGCAGCTTTAAAGGATGCCTTTGCTTTAGGGGGTGACCTTGTTATTCTGAAGAAGTGTGTACAAATGTTTACATTTAAAACACACACACAAGTTTTCCCTAACCACATGAGTGTGCCTGAGTTAGGGGAATGGTTAGGCGGTTCACCATAGGAGACCATGAGAAGAGGAATTTCAGGCCTCTGTTATTGGAGGCCCTTAGGAGCCAGCAGGGCAATGCTGAAGCACCTGGCAGCCCACTTCCTCCTCTTCTGTCTGTGTGTGGAGGTGGGGGTTGTGGGGGTGGGGGGGAGCATTCCTTCTGAATTCTCAGTCTAGTCTTAACCCAGGCTATGCTGCTAACAGGGTGAAAGGTTCCTCCTTTTGCGACTTTGGTCTTTTTTCTAATTTAATCTTTTGAGTAGGTAATTGTTCTTTCTTTTCTACACTAATAATAGTAAAACACACCCACTGTTCTGCACCTTGCTTATTTTAACTTTAACACTCTATATCTGTGACCCTTTCATACCAAAACCAAAAAAAAAGCTTCTGGTGGACATCTAGTTTACTCCCGATCTTTACTAGTAGATGGTATTGCGGTGAATAACTGGTTCGTCATTTCACATGTGTGTGAACTAACTTTGTAGACTAAATTCCTAGAAACAGTATCACTATATTATAAGGCACCTACTTTTGCAAATTTAAGAAATATTGCCAAATTACCCTTCCCAGGCAAAATACCTATTTACACTCTTTTTTTTAAAAGCTATATTTTATTGATTTTTTAAAGAGAGGAAGGGAGAGGAATAGAGAGAAACATCAATGAGAGAGAGAACATTGATCAACTGCTTCCTGCATACCCCCTACTGGGGATGTTCCCGCAACCAAGGTACATGCCCTTGACTGGAATCGAACCTGGGACCCTTCAGTCTGCAGGCCAACGCTCTATCCACTGAGCCAAACCGGTCAGGGCTATTTACACTCTTGCTATCATTTTTGATGGCCAGCCTGGGTTTGGAAACAAGTGACCTGCTGCTTTGGAAAGTCGTCCTAATGACTGGCCCCAGGGATATGCTGCTGCCTGGTCTGTAGAGGTCATCCAACTCTGGACAGAAGCATGTGTTCCCCAGAGGGAGCTTTACCCTGGCCATGGGCCCCCTAATAACCTTTGTTCTGTGCCCTTGGAAGCAGACAGTGAGGGCCTCTGAATCTACTGAGTTCAGGTCTCCAGGCTGCTCTTTATGTGTTGGGGGCTCCAAAGATGCAAGTTGTGTGATGATCAGTGACTTAGAATGTGTGGTCTGCAGAACCAACAGCCACCTGATGGGCAGAAGTTCCAAGAGCAGGGAAGTTGTAGCTTGTGGTTGGTCCTATGCCCCTCACCATGGACTGCATGGATGTGTGCACATCTGTGTGTGTTATGTAACAGGGTAGGAAGAAACCCAGGGGACTGCAGCCTTGTACATGACATGTGTTGGAGGTGTTACAGTCTATAATTCGTAACCTTCCCCCTCTGGCTTTAAAGTTCTTACAAATGAGCGAAAACTAGGCGGAAGTACCTCCACACCCCTTTACCCTGTCTGTTTTCTTCATATCCCACTGTGGAGTTTTTGTTCTAGTCTCTGAATAACTATCAAAATCCTTGACTATTGGAGTAGCTGCTCCTCAGGGGCTGGGAAAGGTCTACCTGAAGACAGAGACAAGACTTTCTTGGGGTTCAGTAAGGCATCCTCTCCCTCAGAGTTAGGGGAAAGGTGAAACCAGTGGGAGAGGAAGAGAGTTGGAGAGGGTGCCCACCAACCTGCAGATCAGCTTCTCCCATTGCCTTCCCGAGTCACCCAGGAATGTTGCTGTGGCTGGTTCTTTGCAGGCTTTTTCTTTGGGAGAAGGAGGCAGCTTTGATCCATAGGCTCTCCCTCCACTCTTCTCTGGGAAGGAGAGCTCAGGCACCTGGGAGTTTGTCGGGCTCAGAAAGAGACTGGTTGTCCTAATGAACACGCTCTGGCCCCTTCTTTCCCATCAGCCCTCATCTTCTCCCTAGGAAGCAAGTGCTGAGGAAAGGGTGGCTGGCACTTGGAAGGAAAGAGAGCAGAACAATGAGGATGGTTTCTCCTCCAACAGGGAAACCAATGCCTTGCATGACTAGACCCTTACAATTAAGACAGGAATGAGGAGCTTTCATGGCCAGAAAGAGGAAGGAAGCCAAGCCCCACAAGCCCTTTTGGACGGTTAAAAATCCACCAGGAAATAAGGGGGCAGTCAAGGTCCAGATGCCAGTGGTGGGGAGAAGGGAAAATTTTCCTATTTTGAAGAAGTCATGGATGGATGGGGCAAATGCTACTTTTTTTTTTTTTTTTTTTTTTGCTTTTTTAACTTCACGAGGAGACCAAGAATTTGTTTTTAGTCAGGAGAGCACTGTCATCCCCTTTCATGATAAATGGGAAACAGGAGGAGAAGGAGACATCCTCAGGCCTGCCATTCAGCCCGAGGCACCACGCTCCCGTGGCCCTTGCTGGTGGGTTGCCAGCCTCTCAGTCACCACTGGACATACTTTCCCCTGTGCCAGTCCCCACATGAGGCATGCTGATGGAGAGGGCACTAGGACCCAGCCCCAGTCCCCAGGGTAGGGGACTGCCAGCCACATAGAGGAAACTGGGTTTCACTTTGTTCCCCCAAAGAACTCCTGCCAGTGCCAAGGCAGGCAGCTTTGGTCATAGATGCTGGGTGGGGTAGCTTTATCCAATGATGGAGATGGGAAAAGAAGCAAAGAAGGACATCTCTTGGGGACACCAAGGTGACTTTTTAAAAATTTTTATTATTGAAAGTATTACATATGTCCCCTCCCCCCTCCCTCATTGACTCCGTTTAGCCGCCCCCCCCCCCCCCCCCCCCCCCCCGGCCCCAGGCATTCACCACCCTGTTGTCTGTGTCCATGGGTCATGCATATATGCGGACAAG